ATTTTTGCTAAAAACATTTAATTATTTCTCAATATTATATTAAGTAAACCTTACTTATACTCCTAAGTAAAGTTGCTTAGCTTATTTTTCTTTTTCTAGACAGCCAAGTTTTATGCTTTTGCAACACTTGGCCACTGAAAAAAGTTTCAAAAATCAAGATATTGGTCTTTCTTATTTACAATATATTTTACTAATTAAATATATATTGTTACCTATTAGAAAAAAAACAAGCTCTCTGTTCTGGTCATTTTGATATATATTATACTGCAAACAAACCAAAACTCACTGAGATATTTAAAAAAAGACAAAACCAAAATCTGTCTTTGCAGGTTATTTTATTGGTAAATTTAGGAAAATTCACTGGGTTGCTCAGAAATTCACTTTTCTGGCACCTATTAAAATTTCCTAAACATCCAATTAGCCTTAACACAGGTCTTATATCTTTCAGATCCTTTCTAACTTATTTGCAAAGCCCTTAAATTAGAAACTTTTACCTGATAATCAAATTATTGGATCCAATTTGAAAATTACTTTATACTAGTACAAACACTACATTAGGATAATTACACAAAATGCCTAATATCATTACTGTCAAACCAGACTCCTTCGACCTAAATACTCTTCAGAATATCAGAAACAGAGTGATATGTAAATATCATGATGTAGATGATTATAGCAATTTAATAGTATTACTCTACAAAATCTTATTGCTCATTAGATAATTTATTGAACACAAGAGGGGTGTGAATGCAGATTTTACCTTTCGCATCTATTACTGTCATTAACCTTTTATAGCTAAATTCGAATGAACTCCATCATACAAGATAGTATATATGTATGCTTGTATGTCCCGTATAATACATATACTTATATGTGTATTAATTTTTGTTATTATATAGTGTGAACTCCTGACTTGAAAGCATATATTCAGGTTGCATTTTAGGAATTTCAAATTCTTCAAAATCTTTTGATAAATTGTGCCATTCTTAGATTAAAATTTAGTTTCCAAACTATTGATATTAATTAGTACTATAGATCATGTCTGATAAATTTGACTTGATTGTACTAGGAATTCTAGTAAGATTAACACATATCAAATTAAAATTATACAAGTTTAAAACAAGTTCAGGATGATGCTATCTGTAAAAAATAATAAAGTTATTGTATTGTGCTTATGAGATATACTATTTTTAGTTATTTATATATACAGAAATAACTTGCTTTGACTTTTTTTTATACATATGATAATTGGTGCAAATTCAAGATTAGATCTTGCTTACCATTTCTGTTAATTTATAATTATGATGAATCGAGATAAATGATATATGACTTTTTATAAAATTTACATGATAAGCTTATTCTAGCTAAAGCTTGGCTTTTCATATTAAAAATCAAGTTTGTATGATAATTGTGTGCATGATCTATTTTTCTGGTAAATGTTTATAGAGCTACTTTTTTAGAGTATTTTTTGTTTTATATAATGATTATATGTATGATTTACTTTTCTAATAAATAATTAAAAATATATGTATATATCTACCTATTTTAAATATTCAGGCTGTCATCGATACTAATTAAGTTCTTGAAAACAATAGATTTAAATTTATTAAATAAACTGAATTTATTATAGAACTTTAAAAAATTAACTTTTTTTGGTTATTAAGGCTATTAATAGCTGATTTACCTCTTAGAAGTGAAAAACAAATGAATTGCTTGGATTCTGATATTGAGACGAATAAAAAGGAACTTAATTCTGTTTCTGATAATAATGAAAAAACTTTCTCTCTGATAAAGGTACAAATTCTTTCAAGAAAAATGAAAGCCAAGAAGATAATAAACATAAAAAAAGAAAAAAAATGCAAGAATAACTAAGAGAAAAAAAGGAAAAAGAGTAATAAAAAAATAAAAAATAATCATTAATACATTTTACTGATCAGTGATATATACTTCAAAATTATTTATTAATTTTACTGATTAATAGTATATATGTATTTCAGTATTAATAATACTTATACTTTGATCACAAGAATTGTTGCACTATAATATCAACAAATAAAATACTAAACCATAATAGATACAGCCTGTCTTCTAAATAAAAAATAAATACAATATTATTTTATTATTTTATTATGAGCCAGTTATTCTACATAGTAAATACTAGTCATTTATAAATTTAATCTGCTTATTCTGAGTTAACACATCAAAAATAATAATAAAAAAGGAATTAATAAATTATTAACAATACAAACATATTAGAAATTTGGAACCTCTTAGAATTAAAAGTGGCAGTATAAAGTTAAACCTTTTTAGATAAGAATTAATGATTAATTAATTGTGCAAACCAAATATAAAAACTAGAAATTGGTTGATTTAAAAAAAAAATTCCAATAGAATGTTCTTTATAATTAAGCCTTAAGCTATATGATAAGATCATATGAATGCCTCTAAAACTATAAGAAGAGCCTGCTAGAAATTTTGATGCTGTAATTACTGATTAAAATAATTTTTTAAAAAATTTTACATTTAAATCTTTAATAAATACTATCTCAAATAACTATTTTATAATTCTGAAGACATTATGATTTGTATAGAAACCTGAGATGAATCTAGAAAAAGAATGTATTGTGAAAGAGATGCTTCTAAATGTAAGAATCCTCAATTTAAAAAATCTAAAAATAGTAGATCTAAATGATTCATAGCAAACTTTGTCAAGATCCAAATTATGTTCAAAGATCTAATATTACACATTATAACAAATGTCAAAAGATAAAGAATGCAAATAATATTCACTCTGAAAATTCAGATGCTTCTACATTTATTCTAAAAATTGACCAAGAATTTGAAGCAATGCTTGAATGTTGTACTATGTGGCCTTGCTTAATAAATCCTGAAATATCAAAAATTGCATTAGCTGAGTTTCATGATAATGTCAATTTTAATAAATTATGAGAATTACTATGTGCTGTTTGTTCTGAACTTTATGACTATAAACATTATAAAAAAATTTCAGTATACAATTTTGATCTTTCTCTTCTTAAAGCACCAATTGATCTTATTAATCTATTATTTGAAATCAATTTTAATTATGAATACCCTTATATCGATATGAGTAAAATGAATATTTTTCTTAATTGATTCAGATTTATATATCTATCTGAATGTCAGAATAATAATAAAAATATGAATCCTAATAACTTTTATTACTTGCGAATTTGTAATACTTATTATGATTATTTACAAATATGTAAAACTTCACCACTATCTTAGTGAATAGCATGCAGATCAGATCTACTTCATTATGTCTTCAGAACTTAACTATTACAGAACAACTTCTTATTTTACCTAAATATCTATGCATGAACCTTATTCAAATATCAAAAAAGAAACATACTTATCATAAGCTTAAGGGTCATGTTATAAGATTACCTCAGAATCCTGGATCATTAACAACTATATTGCCTTTGCCAATAAATCATCTTACTAAATATTTAAAAGTTGTTTTTGTTGAAAAAGGGTCTTCTACTGATTATTAATTAAAGAAAATACTTCAAGTTCAAAAAAGCAAAGTAAAAACTGCTCTTTGTTGGCTTTTTTTTATATAATAAAATATGAAAGATAGATTTAGAATAGACAAAAATGCTTTAAATTTTCTTCTTGAAAGTAAGATTTCCAAAGTCTTACTCTTAATCACTACAGTTGTTGATATTGATTCTTAAAAAACAGAGCACTATACTGGTTATACACAAGATACCTATCAACCTGATAGCGAAAGTAATGATAATGAAATATTTAATGTGATGAATATAATTTCTATAGCTTGATTAATAATAATTCAGTTAATAGTACAAGTGAACTCTGGCCTTCCAGAATATTACCTGTCAATGATGTACTGTCTTCTAAAAGAGAGCTAATATTAATTTCTATTCAAAAATTAGTAGACAAATTTAATTTACAAGCCAGTAGACAAGTACCCTTGAGTAATAATAATAATGCATCAGTAGACACTATGCATTCTCATATTATCTGCATACCCCATAGCAGTAAACCTTTTAATGAGTACAAAGATCCTACTCTTTTTTTTGCTGGATTTCCTGTTCTATATCTGTATAGTGTTGGTGGCTATGAAGGCAGGTTAACACATATATCACTAAAAAAATATACTAACCATCTAATGTGTTATCATAATCCTAAGTTAAGACAACACAGATCATTTTCTTTTTAATGTTTTGCAATGGTGAGATGTTTCTGCACAATCTTATAATTTAACTCATAATAAAAATTTTGAGTGATCAGCTAGATTAATATCTATACTTAATCTATATGATATAAAATTAACTATTGAACAAGAACAAAAAAAACAACATATATCTAACCTTGCAATTCTCAAATTGCTCAAAATATTAATGCTGCTGAATCTAAATTAATGGCTTCTCATCAGTCATGTGCTCGAATGCATAATGAAATTTGTACTGTTATTATACACAATAGTGCACTTTCACTGTTTATCACTATTAACCCAGCAGACCTTTATAGTCCTATCATTATGATGTATGCTAGAAGTGAAATAGATTTTGAAAAACTTACACCTGAAAATTTTCTGAAAGTTACTGAAAGATCTTGACTCATTCATCTTGATCCATCAGTGGTTGCAAAATATTTTGATATAATTATTTAGTTAATTATAAATACTTTAATTGGTTATAATAAAGTAAATGATGGTATATTCAGTACTATAAAAAACTATTATGACTTTGTTGAATATCAAGATCAAGGCATCCTTCATTGTTATATGCTTGTATGGTTATATGGTGCTCTTGATCCAATTATGTTACATCATAAAATCAAAGAAGATGAAAAATTTCATCAATGTTTATTACACTATATTAGTGATATTATTAAAGAAGATCTTAGCTATCTTCTCATAAAAGGTGAAGTACTGACAGACGAAATGCTTAAGGCTGAATTTACAGCTCCAAAAACTTTTATTGAAAAAAGGATGCACCATCCTTTAAGCCTATACCAAATCTTAGATCTACTGATTTTGTTGAAAAATTTTGTCAAGATTTGCTTGCAATCACTAAACATATGCTTTTTCATAATTATAATCAGACCTGCAAAAAATATAATCACAGTTTACAAAAACACTGCAAGTTTGATTTTCTACACGAGCTAGTAGATTCACCTGGAATGGTCTTTTCTAATGAGAGTATTATTGCAGTCCAATGTGTTAATGCTTTTATAAATAATTATAATCCTTATATAACTATTTTTGCAGAGGAAACAATGATATTAAATTTATCACAACTCGAAAATTAGCTCTAGCTTATATTTATTATATCATTGATTACATTACTAAATCAGATCTCAGCATACATAGATTATTTTTAATATGTGCTTCCACTTTACAAACATTCATAACACATGTATCAGATGAACCATCTATTGATCTTATAAATAAATCACACAAACTCATTACAAAATGCCTTAACAAGATAGTAGTCAATCAGAACTTATAGGCTCACAAGTTTTGGCCTATCTGTTAGCCATTCCAGACCACTACACTCTGAACATCTTTATATAAATACATCTTCAATTATTTGTGACTTATCTTCAAAAAAAATATAAAATATATAAAAACTTATCTGAAAATTTTGAAGAATCTGACTATAATTCGAATACTAATAATGATTCAGATACTAATTATGATAAAAAAGACCAAAATATGGCAAATAAATTATTTATAGTTATGTCTTTTAACAATAAATTAACTGTTGTAAATTTTCACATTAATTATTAATTCCAGGACTACATGTTACATAATATTTGTCTTTATGACTATGCTGCTTTTATTCGAAAGTCTAATAAATTTATATGAACTTTCTATGTTATTAGGCCAGTGCTCAAGGAAGGGAAATAAATGTTTTTTTTTCAGAAAATGAATTTGATTCCAATTTTATCTATGAATCTAATAACATGCATCTTCAAAATAAAACTCATATTCAAATATATAGAAGACAAGAAACTAAAAGAATAGTTGTCTTATATGATAAAGAATACCTAAAAAAATAATATAGAAAATGCCGAGTCTTATGGTTTGCATATTCTTATGTTATTTAAACTATGAGACATTATTCATAACCTTTTAGGAAATTATAACACATGGGCTAAAGCATATCAAGCTTTTTTAAATAGTTCAGCTATATCATTCTATCTAAAATCTATAATTTCAAATATAGATTTATTATATAGGTGTTCAGAAGAAACAGCTCTAAATTGTGAACTATGCAAAAGTGCAAAAAATAACCTGATTCTTACAAAAGCTTGTCACATTGATCATTTGGTTTCTGGATATGATGTAGTTGATCAGTATAATTTTCTTGATAATGACAACTTAGATGCACTTAATGCTTCAGAAAATTTTACTATATTTGATTCAGCTGCTATTATTCAGTCTGGTCTGAAAGATATCAAAATGGTTAATGTGACTATAAACATTTTACAAATAAGAGGAAGATTTCAATTCTCTACAGAACATTATATGAACTTAAATAAGTCATGTGATATTGCTAATTTCACCTTAAAAAATATATGTTCAAGCAATATCCATAATGATGAACTTTTAAAAATTTGGCAAAATACAATAACTTCTCAAAAAAAATTTTGTCAAAATAAAAATATCACTAGCCTTAAAAACTATTTATCTTTAAACCTTGTAGATAAAAATTAACAAACTACTGCTCTGGATATTAGCATTACTGAGAAAAATATTGATCTTTTAGAAACTTTTGCATCTGGTTTAATTGAAGAGCAAAAAAGAGCTTATTTTCTAATATGTGACCATCATCGAAAAAATCAAAAAATGTTTAAATCTATATTATCACAATTGCTGCTTTATCTTGGAGATGCAGGAGGAACAGTTAAATTCAGAGTTATCAAAGCTGTTATTGCTTATTTTGATTATGTTTCTTTATGTCATACTCTTCTAGTATTAGCACCTACTAGGATTGCAGTTGCTAATGTTTATGGAAGCACTATTCATTCTGCATGTGGTTTTGGCTTTAATAAAAATGGCAAAAAATCAGCAACTTTAGCTAAAGAAACTTTACAACAACTTCAAGATGTAGAATATGTTATACTAGATGAAGTTTCTATGATTAGTAAAAATCTTATGGCACAATTTCATATTTTTTTAAAAAAATTAAGTCAAATGATAACTCTGCACCTTTTGCTGAAATAAATATAATGTTTGTTAGTGATTTTATGCAATTACCACCAGTTTTAGATCCTGCTCTATACCTACCAAATAATATTACTCTCGTTTCTTCTAATAATTATCAAGCTAAAACTGCCAATATCTAAGGAATGAAAAAACATAATATTATCTCTTTATCAATTGGTCCTTGTTTAGTTGTTAATACTACAGGAAGGAGTCTTTGGTTAAATGTTGTCTATGTAATTATTTTAAAAAAACCAATGCATCAAATAAATGATCCCTTCTATGCTAATATTCTAGAATGTATGTGTAAAGAAAATCTTATGGAAGACTATAGATCTGCTTTATAATCAAGAATTCTTAGTGATACTCAGATTAATTCTGCAAAATGAAGAGATGCAATTTTTGTTGTAATAAGAAATAATCTTCATATCCAGATTAATTTTAATGCAACAAAAGAATATACTTATTATAATAATCAACCACTTATTTATTCTTGTGCACAAGATTCTTACAATCGCAACATTCTTACTGGAAAAAATCGCCTCAACTTTTTATCAACACCAGATACAAAAGACAATGGCTCTGTGATATTTTACCTTTATCTATAAACATGAAAGTTGTTATAACAGTAAATATTTGTACTAATAATAATATTGCAAATGGTTCTCAAAAAATCCTTCACAAAATAGTATATGCTAAGGATTCTATCGAATTTTCAATCAGTGATAAAAGTACTATAGTATTGAAAAGTCTGCCAAAGTATATTATTATTAAATTACTAGGTAGAATTTCTTGTTCATATTAAGATCTTAATCAGAACCATATACCTATTTATCCTGTTAAACATCCTTGTATATGTACTATTTGAAAATCTGATGGCTCAAAAATTCAGAAAAGATTCCAGCATTTTCAACTTCCTATAACCTCTACATTTGCATTTACTGATTATAAATGCCAAGGAAGAACTCTTTAAAAAGCAATCATTGATCTGACTGGTAGTAATGCAAGCAACAGTTTATATGTAATGCTTTTCCAGATACAACAATTTGATAACTTATTAATTCTTTAACCATATAATGAGTTTATATTGAATATGCGAATATCAGCTATGCTTTATATTGAATTTGATAGACTTAAAGAATGTGCACATAAAACTACTCAATTAAAAGAATGTCCAAATGCATAAGTTATCTATAAACTATGCTATTTATTTTCTAAAAGAATTCTTTTTTATTTTTTTTTTAAAAGTAAACTATTTAATATACATTATATAATTAGCATAGAAATAATCTACAAATCACTTAATGGCCCTTTTTTTAAATCTAACCTTCTAAACCTGATCAAAAATTAACTTAGGTGTTTGCAAGTCATGAAATTTAATTTAATAAACTATTGATAATAATATTTATATATATCTACTAATTAACCATAATAATCTATTTATAAAATATATATATATAATTAAAATTAATTATTCTTCTTTTCTACTAACAATCAAATATTTTTTAATATGATTATATCTATATAAATAAAGCTTATATTCAATAGTTCTATCACTGTATAAATTATGTAATTATAACATAATATTATGTGATAAATAAAGACACTACTACTGCTCATAGATGTCTGACAAAACTATTCTACTGTTAATGAAATGACAAAACTCTTATATTTTGTCACTTATGAAATAATGAACTATATAGTTTCATCAGGGCACATGAGTTTTGTTAAGCATCATTACGGCTTTTTCAACATATGTTAATTATGAGTGTAGTGCATATTTTTATTATGCTCTTATTTAGATTAAAGTATTATAAATTTTGTTAAGAAAGTTATCTATGCTAAATAGTAACAATATCTTATTTCAGTAGATCTTCAACCTACTGCTACTGTTTGCCCTCCCAGCCTCTAGATGATTAAAATTTTACCTCTTATTCCTATCATTATAGGTAAAAGATATTTAATTAATATTTTAAACATATAGTTATATTTTTGTAAGATATAAGATTAATATTTAGTAAAGATAAATAACTTAATTATTAGAACTCTTGCTAAATAATAAAAACTATTAAATTAAAAAAAAATATTACTGATTTTACCTAGTAGTCATTGAGAAACCATCGTTAAAAGTTTTTAAAAATTACTGCAGCACATATGTGCCTATATCATATACAGAAAATGTGACTACATATGGGCATATATTCAAATTGCATTTATAATCTACTTTAATTTCATTTCTGGTTTTGCGCAATGATGTTGCGCAGCTATCTAGTATATTTAATTTATAAGTATTAAGTAACTAATTACATAGTTAAATATCTTTGGATCAGGAGATCATTAAAGTTAGTTATAGTAACAACATAATTATGTTGTTAGAGTTTATTAGAAGAATAAAACAACTATGTTATTAGAGTTTATTAAAGTAATAATATAATTACATTATTAAAGTTTATTAGAATAATGATATAATTATATAATTTTTTAATTAGTTTGTGATTAGTTTTTGATTAATAATTACTAGTATATATTTAAAAAAGTTAAGGTTTTTTTTCAGACAAAGTAATTTCTGTTTTTTCTGCTAACTCATCTTTGTCTAGTTTTTTTATTTTGCCCTTTTCTACTTCTTATAAATGCCCAAATAAGTGCTATTGGTATGCTATAAGTGAGCAAGCTTGTTTTTAACTTTTGGTTTTTAATATAGAATTGGCTTATTAGATAATAGCAAAATTCATGTTCAGTAGGTAACCTGTTGGTAACAGTTATAAAAATTACTTGTTTGTTTATAGTGATTTCAGATTTGTCTGTCAGACAACAGTTAAGTCAAATATAAGTGACCTATTGGAATAATAGCTACAAAAAAGTTTATATACAGATTAATTGCATATAGTTGCACTTTTATTGGCACATTATTTATATTTATATATGCTTTTACTTACACTTTTATGCTTATTAAACTTTATAGATGCTTTTGAATTTTGCATTAATCTAGAAAGTTTGCACAAAGCAGCAAAGACAGAATATTCATTATTATATTTTATTGTGTTAGTGCTAACTCTTCTTAATGAAAGACAAAAATATTAAAACCTATAAAATATAATTTAGCATATTTAGAAATTATTGACAAATTCTTTTGATAAAGTTTTTGACAAGCAGTAATTATTATTTTATCAGTCTAATAAAAAATTTAATAAAAAAAATAAAAATTATCAAATATTTGGCATTGAGACCTTTAAACTTATTTTGGACCACTAATTATTATATTTAAAAAATAATTTTTAATATTATTTGTTATAGCACTTTGATTTTCAGATATATGCCTTATTTATATTTTTTTAAAAATATCAAATAATAAATAAGTTATGCAGACTAATTAATTTCAAGATTTTGCATATAGAAGCATTTGTTTCTAGTATTTATCTTTTAAAGTTTTGTTTAGGATGCTATACAAAGTTACAAAACAGATTTCCCAATTATATGCTGAGAATTGTACATGCATATTAATTTGTCTGTAAACTATTAAATAACCATTTTATATAATAAGTAGTTGTGCAATATTGTTATACAAAACCAGAAATGAGAAAAGTCTATGTAGGCACTAGAAATAGGCATGTGCAGAATTTTTAATATAATTCTGAAATAAGATTATCTGGTCTGCATTATTATAATATCTGGTTAGCATAAATATAATATCTGAACTGGCATATTTAGTTAATTCCTAATTAAAATTTATTTGTATATCATTTCATACATATGTTTATTTATATATATAATAAGAATTTATTTTTTTTATTGTAGTATCTTTTGTTTATATTACAAAAATATTTTTATAATTAAGTTATTTTTTTAAGAATAAATAAAATGCATAGTAATAATAATATTTGAAATTATCTTACAAAAATTAGATTAGGTGAACTTTTAATCAAGAATATGCTTAATGTAATTACTTCTATTAAACCTTTTAAAAAATATATGAAAATTTACTATTTTAATTGGCCAATAGCAATGACCAAAAATTTAAACAAAATTACTTGAATTTTTATAAAGAAATTATGGCTATCTATTAAATAAAATTAATAAATCTCATGTAAATTTTTGAAGAACTACAATTTGCCCAATCTAGGTACTATATATTTTATAAAATTATATACATTGTAAATTTGTAAAATGTAATTTTTGACTCTAAGTGAAACATGTTCCTGGGTTAATCTTACCATTACACAAACCTAAACCTTAAACAAATACATATCAAGATTTTGTTAATTACAGCTGTTGGCCAATAAAAATTAAGGTTCAACTGCACAATATATAGATTTAATGAATTTTATAAGAATTTTTTAAAAAACTACAATTTGTTTTTCTCTAGCAGACACTATTTCAGTTACAAGAAACTATATTTTTTATTGCAATCTATTCTTGTGAAAACTTTTTATAAAAAAAAGTTAATAAAAATTGCAATCTGAATATTGGTTTAAATTTCAGTAACTAAGTATAAAAACTTATTAATAAAGTTAATGTTTGACTGCTTTATAAGCAAAATTTTATCTGAATGGCTAATAAATTCAAGTTGATTTTACATTATTTATACAGTTTAGAATACTTTTTAAAAAAATAAAAACTAATTATAATAAAGTAAAAAAAAAGCTATATAAAAGGTTTTATTAAAGCTATAGAACTTTATAATCAAAAATAAAATTTAATTCTCATCTGATTAAAAAATTAATTTAGTAATAAGTTGATTCTATTAGATTTTGAGAAGTTATTACTATATTAACTTTTTTAGACAAACAAAGATTAAATCTTATTTTTGGCTATAGAGTTCTACAGCTTTAATAAAACCTTCTATATAGATTTTTTTATTTTATTATAATTAGGTTTCATTTTTAAAAAAATTACTTTGACTATATAAATAGTATAAAATTAAATTAAATTTATTAGTCAGTTAGACAAACTGCTGCTTATGACTGACTGCTATATAGTTGGTTAGCTAATATTACCCAGTTCTGATAAACCTGACCAAAATTCTAAGACTCTGCAAAAAAGTATTAAAATTTATGAGTTATAATTTAATTTAAGATGATTATTAAATTCTTTTGATTATGTTTTTGATGATCAGTAATTATTATTTTATCTGTTTAATAAAAAA